AAGGGTGCAGTACAGAAGGAGCAACGGAGCAAACAAGAAGAGACGCCGCATTCCTTCACGTGTAATCTTGAAGAGTTTGTGTATTTGTGTGTCTGCAAGCAGAAGAGAAGAAAAAGAAATATTGGCAACAGAAAGTCAAATGCAGAATTGTCAAACAAGCATAGAAGGAAAACCAAGGAGGAAATGGGAAACCATGACCCCACCCATAGAAAAAAGGAAAAAGAGAGATATGAAAGTAACAGAGAGCCACTGTCAAGCAGACTGTGGATACGCACAATGAACACGTGGCGGGGCCGCATCAGCCCCACTGCACGGGCACAGGCGGTGGGAGGGGGTTGTGTCAGAAACGCACAGAGTGCAACATCAATGGGATCAGGCGTTTTGTTAGGATACAGCGATGGAGTGTCATCAGTAACAGCATACACTAAGGGAACCTTACAGAGAAAGAAACCAAGCAGAAAAAGGGAAAAGAGAGAGAGAGAGAGAGAGAGAGTATTCCACTGCACCAACCAGTGGGCAAGAACACAGGCCACAACATAACCAACAACAAGAATAATAATAATAATAAAAGGAAATGAATAACAGAGAATGGTGAGGGCGGAGTACGAAACATCCAAAACGGCTGTAGACCCTCCACGCCACATTGCTCCATTACATTATTACCCATAAAAGTAGAAAAGAAAAAAGAAAAAAACCCACGCACTCCAGCAGCTGCTCCCCGTGGTTTCAAAGCCTCAACAGTAAGTCTTTAAGGGTGTAGCCTGGCACGTGTTGCAAGAAGAAAAAGATCATTTACCAATGTGTATTCCACCCAAGAAGAACACCCATAAAAAGAAGGAAAAGCAATGCTTAACAACCCCTTGTTTCTCCCGCTCACACGTACACAGAAAAAAAAGAAAACAAATTTCATATGATTCACCAACGTCTGTTCATGCAGTCATTGTTATCAAGTAATACGGAACATCACAATGACATTGATCAAAAACAGACGAGGGATCACATATAACTCAATAAAGCAATTTAATTAAAGCCCAAAGAAATTAAAGTGATGTGTAGAAACAAAAAGAAATCGCATTATCGCATTCCACACAAATGTATATAAGAGACTGAGCTCATGGCGACATTATCACAGAGAGTGTCAAGAAAACAAACATAACACTCGCGAAAACAGAAGCTTTAAAACAACCATCAGTACCTTTTCCCGCAATAATATTATTATTCTGCCCATTCAAAAAAGAGGTAATGTTTTCTTCCTTTGTTTCGCTTGGTTTTGATTTAGTCGTACTTGCATCATTTTGTACCACCGGCGCAGTCTCACCCTCGTTACCAGCATTTTCACTTGGTTTGGGGGTTCCAGTGGCCGGTTGATTACCATCTGACAGTGCAGACGTTGTCTCACCTTCTGGTAGAGTTGTTTGGATTGCTTCAACAATGTCTGGGTCTTTTTGTGGACCTTGTGATTCATCCAGAGTTTTGTTGATTGTATTGCACACATCAGCGTATTTGGGGCACACAATTTCACCTTTCAGCACATCCCCCTTCACAGTTAGATTTTCTCCTTCATGACAACTGTGCCATTCTTCATCTCCACTGTACCGCACAATTACCTTGTTGAACTTGCAAGACACCTCCACACACACGGCACCAACAGCTGCATTGTTGTCAGCCCTTAGTTCATTACCCTCCACACAACGTGAGTTGATACCAATCTTACTTCCAGGCATTTGGTTCTGCTCCCCACTGATGCAGCTCTTTTGCGGTAATGCCTTAATAAAAGGGCAGTAATCCATTTGTTCAGATGGTGCTGAACCAACCTTTTTTTCCTCAGAGAAATATTGGAACTGCTGTGGAATGTTCCTCTCATAGGGTTGAATGCTGCACCTCCCCAGTGACTGGCGGTCAGATGTGCACTGTAGTGACTCAGGGATATCACCGCTCTTGGCTGTGCAGAACATGTTGGGGAAGTCCGTTTCCCCGTTCTTCATGCACGTATCATTCAAGAATTCACACTTAGAGTTATTGCCCCAACTCATCTGCTCTGCCATTGTCCAATTAACTTTGTAGTAGCCCAGATCAGCGAAAGCTCCCATTGTAATTGCAGTGTAGTAACCAGCACCGACGAGACCAACCATCAATTCATCCTTTGCAATACGACGACTCCAGTGGGACCGTGTAATGGTTTTATCTCCGTTTGGAGGAACTTGCATTGTCTCAACAATACACTGTTTACCCGTCGCAGTCTCCACTGGTTTGCCCTTGTCGCACGTGTTTGTAGATTCTGCAACTGTAGCTTGAAGGTATAGTGAACGTCTTTTCGACAAGACATTTGATGAATGATGTACATTCTCTGTATACTTGGCAGCACTGGAACCCTCTTCTCCACGTCTCTCTTGCACATCACTGCCAACAGACTCCTTCCCTGTCAAACGACCATCCATAACATTACTGTGGGATACTCCCAGCTGATATTCCTCTTGTACGCTTGCAGTCAGAACGCGCGGCGCTTGTAGGTGCCCTTGTCGTTGTTGTAGTCGTTCTCTTCTTGGCAGTAGTTGTTGTCGTGGTAGTGGCGGTCGTGATAGTACTCCACGAGCATCTTGCTCTAGTCGCAGACTATGCTTTAAAGAGCCAGCTTCTCGAGATGGTGTTATACCTGCAGGTGCCGTGTGCTGTTGGACCTTCCTTTCACCTCCAGATCCTCCTCTACCATTTGTTTTTTGCGGATTTGGCGTGTTTTGTAGTTCCATGCCCTTTGCAGAATCACAGTTGTAATGCTTCATTGCTTCTCTCCGTGTGTTGTCAGAGGCGACAAGCGCAACGTTTGTCTTACCACGCAAAGAGTCAACTCTACCTACCAGCTGCATCCTTTCCATCTCAGGGACATTAAATCCAAGTGCATGAGCAATCTCATGAGCAGCAACGCGGACACGCTGTGGTGTAGCCACAATATACCGTGGACCGTAATTAATGATTCCAATAACTGGACGGCCATTAGAACTTAATGTCGCACATGTTGCCGCCCACGCAAATGTTCCCTCAGGCGTCGGCTCTGCAGCAACGTACAGCACCATGTCAGCATCGGAAATTTCAGTACTTTTATCAGCAGATGTTGGTGTAGTGAACTGGGAACAAAGGTTCTCATCAGAGAACTTTGGCACGACAATAGGACCATTCAATCGTTTAACAAAAAGACGTTCCTCGTGCAGTTTAATTGCCTCAGGAAGAATCTTCTTAACAAGAATTTCCTCCTTCTCTGGCGTCAAAACATCATGATCTGTGCAAGTTATATTGTTCTTTAGCGTGGTATTGATCTGTGTCACGCCACCCGAACAATATTGTCCCTTTTTCAAATGATCAGAGACAAGTTTAATACGAATCGCTTTCCATTCTTCCTGAGGTTCTTCTCTGACAGCAGAAGGTGGTCGGTCTCTGGAAGAAAATCTTTTTTTTTGAGCTTCCCTTTTGGTCATGATCTCCTCGTAAAATTGAGGAGTAGTGGGAGAACCAACACGCAAAGCAACAAAATCAGACATGCAGCGGTGCTCTGTCACAGCAAGAGTGACAAGGGTGCAGTACAGAAGGAGCAACGAAGCAAACAAGAAGAGACGCCGCATTCCTTCACGTGTAATCTTGAAGAGTTTGTGTATTTGTGTGTCTGTAAGCAGAAGAGAAGAAAAAGAAATATTGGCAACAGAAAATCAAATGCAGGATTATCAAGCATAGAAGGAAAAATAAGGAGGAAATGGGATACCATAACCCGACCATAGAAAAAGAAAAAGAGGGAGAGAGAGACATATGAAAGTAACAGAGAGCCACTGTCAAGCAGACTGTGGATACGCACAATGAACACGTGGCGGGGCCGCATCAGCCCCACTGCACGGGCACAGGCGGTGGGAGGGGGTTGTGTCAGAAACGCACAGAGTGCAACATCAATGGGATCAGGCGTTTTGTTAGGATACAGCGATGGAGTGTCATCAGTAACAGCATACACCAAGGGAACCTTACAGAGAAAGCAACTAAGCAGAGAAAAAAAGGGAAAGAGAGAAAGAGAGAGAGAGAGAGTATTCCACTGCACCAACCAGTGGGCAAGAACACAGGCCACAACATTACCAACAACAAGAAATATAATAAAAGGAAATGAATAACAGAGAATGGTGAGGGCGGAGTACGAAACATCCAGAACTGCTGTAGACACTCCACGCCACATCATTCCATTATATTATTACCCATAAAAGTAGAAAAGAAAAGAAAAAAGAAAGAAAACCCACGCACTCCAGCAGCTGCTCCCCGTGGTTCCAAAGCCTCAACAGTAAGTCTTTAAGGGTGCAGCCCGGCACGTGTTGCAAGAAGAAAAAGATCATTTAACAGTGTGTATTCCACCCAAGAAGAACACTCATAAAAAGAAGGAAAAGCAATGCTTTAAAACCCCTTGTTTCTCCCGTTAACATACACACAAAAAAAAAAGAAAACAAATTCATATGATTCACCAACGTCTGTTCATGCAGTAATTGTTATCAAGTAATACGGCACATCACAATGACAGTGATCAAAAACAGAGAAGGGATCATATATAACTCAATAAAGCAATTTAATTAAAGCCCAAAGAAATTAAAGTGATGTGTAGAAACAAAAAAAAAAAAAAAATATTATCGCGTTCCACACAAATGTATATAAGAGGCAGAGCTCATGGCAACATTATCACAGAGAGTGTCAAGAAAAGAAACATAACACTCGCGAAAGCAGAAGCTTTAAAAGAACCATCAATGCCTTTTCCCGCAACAATTTTATTATTCTGCCCACTCACAGATGAGGTAATGTTTTCTTCCTTAGTTTCACTGGGTTTTGATTCTTTAGTCGTACTTGCCTCATTTTGGACAACCGGCACAGACACACCCTGGTTACCAGCATTGTTACTTGTACCAGCGCTTTCACTTGGTTTGGGGGTTTCAGTGGCTTCAGTAGCGGGTTGAGTACCTTCCGAGAGTGTAGTCGTTGTCTCAACTTCTGGTTGACTTGTTTGGATTGCCTTAACAGGGTCTGGGTCTGATGCTGGACCTTGTGATTCATCCAGAGTTCTGTTGATTGTATTGCACACATCAGCGTATTTGGGGCACACAATTTTACCCTGCAGTACAGTCCCATTCAAAGTTAGATTTTCTTCTTCAGGACAACTGTGCCAGTCATTGTTTCCACTGTACCGCACACTTACCTTGTTGAACTTGCAAGACACCTCCACACACACGGCACCAACTGCTGCATCATTTTTAGTCTTTAGATCCTTACCCTCCACACAACGTGAGTTGTTAGCAATTACACTTCCAGGCATTTTATTTTTCTCCTCACCAGTGACGCAACTGTAACCTTGGTTTGCTGTGATAAACGGGCAGAAATCCATTTGTTCACGTGCTTCTGAACCAACCGTTTTGCTGTCAGAAAAGTATCGGAATCCCACCGGAAGATCATTCTTAACGGGGATAGCTCCAATGCTGCTGCACCTCCCCAGCGACTGGCGGTCAGATGTGCACTGTAGTCCTGCAGGTGAATCAGAACTGTCAGTGGATTTGGTTGTGCAGAACATGTTAGAGAAATCAGTTTCCCCGCTGTTAACGCACTTATTATTCAAGAATTCACACCCAGCGTTATTGCCCCAACTCATCTGTTCTGCCATTGTCCAATCAACTTTGTAGTAGCCCAGATCAGCGAAAGCGCCCAATGTGAGTGCGGTGTAGTAACCAGCACCGACGAGACCAACCATCAACTCGTCCTTGGCGTTGCGTCGACTCCAGTGTGACAGTGTAATTATTTTTTCACCGCTTGGAGGAGGTCGTACTGCCTCAACAATACACTCTGTAGCACCCGCCGCATTCTCCACTCGTCTGCCCTTTGCGCATTTGTTTTCAGATGCCATCATTGCAGCTTGAACGTGTAGTGAACGTCTTTTCGAGATGTCATTTGATGAATGATGTACATTCTGTGTAAACTTGGCATCACTGGAACCCTCTTCTTCACGTCTCTCTTCCACAACACTGCCAACAGACTCCTCCCCTGCAAAACGACCATCCATAGCATTACTGTGTAATTCTCCCACTTCATATTCCTCTTGTACACTTGCAGTCAGAGCGAGCACCGCTGGTCCTTCTGGTCGTAGTGGTCGTGCTGCACCAGAAGGAGATCGTGGCTGTCGTTGTTGTCTAACTAATGATGGATTTGGTAGTCTTCCATGCATTGTACCACCAGTTATTCCGTTCGCATTAGCTCCAGAGTGTGGTCGTAGTCGATGTGGTGGTTGTTGTCTACCTGCATTTGTTCGTCCTCCATGCGTACTACCGCCATTTGTTGGAGGCCGTAAAAACGGATTTGGCACACCTCGTAGTTCCATACCCTCTGCAGTATCACAGTTATAATGATCTATGGCCTCTCTCCGTGTGTTGTCAGAGGTAACGAGCGCAACGTTTGACTTATTACGTAACGTAAACCCTTTACCCACCAACTCTTTCCTTTCCATCTCAGGGAGATTGAATCCAAGTGCATGGGCAATCTCATGAGCAGCAACGCGGACACGCTGTGGTGTAGCCACAATATACCGTGGACCGTAATTAATGATTCCAACAACTGGACGCCCATCAGAATCCAATTTCGCACATGTTGCCGCCCACACGAATGTTTCCTCAGTGGTCGGTGTAGCTGCAACGAACAGCACCATATCAGCACCGTCAACACCATTGGTTTTATGAGCTTCCGGTATAAACTTGGAGCAAAGACCATCTTTATTGGTGAACTCCGGCACGACAATAGGACCCTTCAATGGTTTAACAAAAAGGCGTTCTTTGTGCAGTTTAACTGCCTCAGGGAGAATCTCTTCAACAAGAATTTTCCTTTTCTCTTCTGTCAAGATATCATCAGTTGTACATTTAAAATCATCATTCAATAAGGTTTTAATCGAAGGCAATTTATCTGAACAGTGATGTTCACCCTTTTTCAAATGATCAGAGACAAGTTTAATGCGAATCGGTTTCCATCCCTCAGAAGGATCTTCTCTGATTTTCACAGTTTGCGACGATCCGGAATGCCTGGGACGCTTCAGGCCCCTGTGTCCAATTGAACCACGAACATCACCATTAAATTCAGCACCAACTAACATGGCCACTCTGTCGTGTATGCAGCGGTGGTGCTCTGTCACAGCAAGAGTGACAAGGGTGCAGTACAGAAGGAGCAACGAAGCAAACAAGAAGAGACGCCGCATTCCTTCACGTGTAATCTTGAAGGGTTTGTGTATTTGTGTGTCTGTATGCAGAAGAGAAGAAAAAGAAATATTGGTAACAGAAAATCAAATGCAGGGTTGTCAAACAAGCATAGAAGGAAAAATAAGGAGGAAATGGGAAACCATAACCTCGCCCATAAAAAAAAAAGAAAAAGAAAAAGAGACACATGAAAGTAACAGAGAGCCACTGTCAAGCAGACTGTGGATACGCACAATGAACACGTGGGGGGCCGCATCAGCCCCACTGCACGGGCACAGGCGGTGGGAGGGAGTTGTGTCAGAAACGCACAGAGTGCAACATCAATGGGATCAGGCGTTTTGTTAGGATACAGCGATGGAGTGTCATCAGTAACAGCATACACTAAGGGTACCTTACAGAGAAAGAAACTAAGCAGAGAAAAAGGGAAAGAGAGAGAGAGAGAGAGAGAGAGTATTCCACTGCACCAACAAGTGGGCAAGATCACAGGCCACAACATAACCAACAACAAGAATAATAATAAAAGGAAATGAATAACAGAGAATGGTGAGGGCGGAGTACGAAACACCCAGAACTGCTGTAGACCCTCCACGCCACATCACTCCATTATATTAATCCCAATAAAAGTAGAAAAAAAAAAAAGAAAAAGAAAACTCACGCACTCCAGCAGCTGCTCCCCGTGGTTTCAAAGCCTCAACAGTAAGTCTTTAGGGTTCAGCCCGGCACGTGTTGCAAAAAGAAAAAGATCATTTACCAGTGTGTATTCCACCCAAGAAGAACACTCATAAAAAGAAGAAAAAGCAATGCTTTAAACCCCCTTGTTTCTCCCGTTAACATACACACACGAAAAAAAGAAAACAAATTTCATATGATTCACTAACGTCTGTTCATGCAGTCATTGTTATCAAGTAATACATCACAATGACATTGATCAAAAACAGACGAGGGATCATATATAACTCAATAAAGCAATTTAATTAAAGCCCAAAGAAATTAAAGTGATGTGTAGAAACACAAAAAAAAAAAGAATTATCGCGTTCCACACAAATGTATATAAGAGATAGAGCTCATGGAGCCATTATCACAGAGAGTGTCAAGAAAACAAACATAACACTCGCGAAAACAGAAGCTTTAAAAGAACCATCAATGCCTTTTCCCGCAACAATATTATTATTCTGCCCACTCACAGATGAGGTATTGCTTTCTTCCTTGGTTTCGCTGCGGTTTGATTCCGTGGCAGTACTTGCCTCATTTTGTACCACCGGTGCAGTAACTTCCTGGTTACCATCACTTTCACTTGGTCTTGCGGTTCCAGTGGCCTCAGTGACTTCTGGTTGACTTGTTTGGATTGCTTTAACAGGGTCTGGGTCTGTTGCTGGACCTTGTGATTCATCCAGGGTTTTGTTGATTGTATTGCACACATCAGCGTATTTGGGGCACACGATTTTACCCTGCAGTACACTTCCATTCACAGTTAGATTTGTTCCTTCAGGACAACTGTACCACTTATCGTTTCCACTGTACCGCACAATTACCTTGTTGAACTTGCAAGACACCTCCACACACACGGCACCAACTGCTGCATCATCTTTAGTCTTTAGTTCCTTACCCTCCACACAACGGGAGTTCATACCAATCTTACTTCCAGGCATGTTATTACTCTTCTCAACACTGATGCAGCTCTTTTGCGGTAATGCCTTAACAAACGGACAGTAATCCATTTCTTCAGATTCTTCTGAACCAACCGTTTTGCTGTCAGAAAAGTATCGGAATCCCACCGGAAGATCATTCTTAACGGGGTTAGCCCCAATGCTGCTGCACCTCCCCATCGACTGGCGGTCAGATGTGCACTGTAGTGACTCAGGGATATCACCGCTCTTGGTTGTGCAGAACATATCAGGGAATTTAGTACTGCCTCCCTCCACACATTTATCCTCCAGCAATCCACACCCAGAGTTATTGCCCCAACTCATCTGTTCTGCCATTGTCCAATTAACTTTATAGTAGCCCAGATCAGCGAAAGCTCCCATTGTAATTGCGGTGTAGTACCCAGCACCGACGAGATCAACCATTAACTCGTCCTTTGCAATACGACGACTCCAGTGAGAACGTGTCATCTTACCTTTGTGGTTTGAAATAAACACTGGTGCCTCAACAATACACTGTTTACCACCTGCAACCTCCCCATCTTCGCCAGGCGTGCATTCGCTTGAAGGTTCAGATGCCATCATTGCGGTTTGTCCGTATAATGAACGGCTTTTCAACCACACATTTGATGAATGATGTACATTCTCTGTAAACTTGGCAGCACTGGAACCTTCTTCTCCACGTCTCTCTTGCACAACACTGCCAACAGACTCCTCCCCTGTCAAAGGATCATCCATAACATTACTGTGTGATTCTCCCAGCTCATATTCCTCTTGTACACTTGCAACCTGGGCGAGGATGGCTGCTGCTTTTGCACGTTGTCCTACTTGTACAATGGTCACACCTTGTAGTTCCATACCCTCCGCAGAATTACATTTATAATGTTCCATGGCTTCTCTCCGTGTGTTTTCTGTAGAAACAACAAAAACATCTTCTTTATCGCGCAAAGAATCAGCTTTACCCACCAACCTATCCATCTTCATCAGCTCGAAATTGAAACCAAGTGCATGGGCAATCTCATGAGCAGCAACGCGGACACGCTGTGGTGTGGCCACAATATACCGTGGACCGTAATTGATGATCCCAACAACTGGACGACCATTACGACCTAATGTCGCACATGTTGCCGCCCATGCGAATGTTCCCTCAGGAGTCGGTTCTGCGGCAGCAAACAGCACCATGTCAGCACCGGAAAAATTCCTGGTTTTCTGCTCTTCTGGTATAAACTTGAAGCAAAGACCATTTTTATTGGAGAACTGCGGCACGATAATAGGACCACTCAATCGTTTAACAAAAAGACGTTCCTCGTGCAATTTAATTGCCTCAGGAAGAATCTTTTTAACAAGAATTTCCTCCTTCTCTGGCGTCAAAGCATCATGATCTGTGCAAGTAAAATCCTTCTTTAACACGGTTTTAATCGTCTTCGAATCACCTTTTCCAGAACAGTGATGTTCACCTTTTTTCAAACGATCAGAGACGAGTTTGATGCGAATCGACTCCCAACCGCTCGGAAGTTCTTCTCTGTTTGGAGGATTAGTTCTCGTAGTTTGCAACGTTCCAGCAGTTGACGTGGAATTCAATGTGCGAAGAGTCTCATGTTTACTTACGTCGTAAGTAGTTCCAAGTTCTGTTGACACTTTGTGAAACATGCAGCGGTGCTGCTCTGTCACAGCAAGAGTGACAAGGGTGCAGTACAGAAGGAGCAACGGAGCAAACAAGAAGAGACGCCGCATTCCTTCACGTGTAATCTTGAAAGGTTTGTGTATTTGTGTGTCTGCAAGCAGAAGAGAAGAAAAAGAAATATTGGCAACAGAAAATCAAATGCAGGATTGTCAAGCATAGAAGGAAAAATAAGGAGGAAATGGGAAACCATGACCCCACCCATAGAAAAAAGGAAAAGAGAGACACATGAAAGTAACAGAGAGCCACTGTCAAGCAGACTGTGGATACGCACAATGAACACGTGGCGGGGCCGCATCAGCCCCACTGCACGGGCACAGGCGGTGGGAGGGGGTTGTGTCAGAAACGCACAGAGTGCAACATCAATGGGATCAGGCGTTTTGTTAGGATACAGCGATGGAGTGTCATCAGTAACAGCATACACTAAGGGAACCTTACAGAGAAAGAAACTAAGCAGAGAAAAAGGGAAAGAGAGAGAGAGAGAGAGAGAATCTCCACTGCACCAACCAGTGGGCAAGATCACAGGCCACAACATAAACAACAACAAGAATAATAATAAAAGGAAATGAATAACAGAGAATGGTGAGGGCGGAGTACGAAACATCCAGAACTGCTGTAGACCCTCCACGCCACATCACTCCATTATATTAATCCCAATAAAAGTAGAAAAGAAAAAAAGAAAAAAAAAACAGTATGGACTAAAAATAACTAGAAATCCTCACTGTCCCAATGCATAAAAATAATAAAAAAAAAAAGAAAGAAACAGAGCAATAAAGAAATAATACTTTTAAAAAGACATGGACAAACTCTTTTCTCCGATTTTTCAGTCTATCAATAGAAAACAGAGAATTTAAAATTTCTCTTTAATATAAATATATATATATTCCTCCTATATATGTATATCCCTTTTGTCTTCTTCTCACGCGAGAGGTTTACAGGTGCGACACGGTGCGTATAACTGATCCAATGCTTCCCCCACCGTTACTTTCGATGCGTTGACTACACAAGATGCACCAACACGATGAAAGGCCTCACCATTACGCGTGATAACAACAATATTGTCCTCATTTACTTTTTTCCAAATTTTGCGCTTTTCACGTCGAGCCTTCTTTTGAGCATCACGCATGGCATTCGTGTTTTCATCTTTTACACGTCTTAATTTATATAAACGTGCCAATCCCATCTCCACAAGGGCCATATTCACACAAATATATCCACTCTTGCTGGGATGGGAAACATACACGTAAGCCAATGTTCGTCCATATTTATCATGTCGTTCATTTTTTTCTGAAAACCCCAACAGTACAGTTCCTCCACGTGGACAGAGTTTGCGGCAGTAATCACGACTCTCTTTTGCATACGGTTCATTCTCGCTAATCTCCGGGGCGTCAATACCCCAAAAACGAACAGAGATACGATTCTCTATTGTTAGTGTATCGCCATCGTAGACATGATCTACTGTGTGTTTCTCCAACAATAAACCTTTTGGTGGTTGCGGATGATATGAGAATTGGAAATCCCGTTGGGATCCCTCCTTGTGATGAGTATCCGGAGAACTGGAGGAACAGCCCATTTTTCTTTCACAGGAAAATAGTTCCCATTTACAGAAACACAGAAAAGGAAAAGAAAACAGAGATGGGAAAAAAACATTAAACAGCTGAAAAAACTTCTTCCATTCCATCAAGAGACATACATGAAATAGAGAAATGACTCTATTTATTTATTTGCCTCTTTTTTTTTTCTTGTTTTCTTTTCTTTTTCCATAATGGAAAAGATTAACATACGATAAAATGAATAAAAAGAAAAAAAAAAAAAAAAACAGAGTCAAAACTTTACAAAACAAAAAAAAAGGGTAAAAGAAAGGTGTATATCACCTCAGTAGATACTGACCAAAATTAGATGTAAGGGATGCTCTTGTGGGTAAACTATGAGCTAATTCGGTATCCACACCTGCCAAAAATCGTTCACGTTGTTGTTGCAACTGTGCCAAAAGTATACTTTTTTCAGCGTTATCACGTTCAAGAATTTCCATTTCAGACAATACTTGCGATAATTGGTTCATAAATTGTTCATTACTTATACTGGTAGAAACTAACTGCTGACCTTTATTCATTTGCATCAGTTGTGAAAGCTCCACAGAGAGAAGAGTCTGTGTACCTATATCACATCTTTGTGTATCGTCTGAGAACATCATCCATGCAGTTTTATCTTGTTCACGTTGTAGACTTTGACTATTACGGCCCAACCAGGAGGAACCTCGCTGCTGTGTGGTGAAGTGTAATTGTTGTCGAAGCTGTTGTATTAATGCCGCTGATTCTTCCTCCACTTCATTCAGACGATATGTGGCAGTTTGTCGCTCCATTTCCCGTTCATGTCGTTCACGTGTTAACTGCACGTTTAGATCTTCATTTTCTCGGAGTATCTTTCGCACAAAGAGTGCTATTTGATTATGTTCCTCCTCCAGAGTACATCGTAGTGATCTCGCCATAGAGAGAAGATGTGAGGATCGGTATGGTGTATTGCATGCATTATCCAGTGGAGAAGTGGAGAGACGAGAGAGATCTTCCCACATATGTCCTACATCAGCAAAATAAGTATTACTTTCAATGGTAGCCACATTAGTATGTGAATCCGAATTAGTAGTATGAGTTATCGCAGCAAAAGGAGTATTTGTGTTGTTGTTATTGTTGTTCGTGATGGTACTGGCGGCATCATTCATAGCCGAGATAAATTCAATAGCATCTGTTGCCATTTGTTGAACCTCTAAAGCAACACTTTCTCCTTCTATCCCTGTTACTCCCACAGTTGATGGTTGTGCAGATCCAGTTGGCTCTGATGATGGAAGACTGTATAACTTTCGCAATTGTCGAATCTCATCATCGCGTTGTGTTAATACATCGCGGAGATTCTGAATTGTGTGTGCATCCACACCAGAATGCCGATCTTGCTTGAATTGATCCACTTGTTGTTGTAGTCTTGCAACCGTATCGGCGTGCACGGCTTCCAGTTGTGCTCGTCTTGCCTGTTCCTTCTGTAATTCTTGAAGGAGCGACTCCTCACGAGTAGGGAATGTTTGAAATGTAGAATTCTGATACTTCGTACGTTGTGCAGCCGCAGTTCCAGAGCGAAAGCGATTTAATTCTTCTAAAAGGAGTACATTATCACGTTTGAGACGATCACATAATTTATCTCTTTGTGTACGGTCATCCTCTAATTCTTTAATATATCGCATCAAACGCTTCTCCACATACGACTTATACTGCATCAAAACTTCTTTTGTGCGTAATAACTCACGTTCAACAGCCGTCGAAGTTCTCTCAGAAGAAAGAGTAGATGGATCTCTATTACAACTAAAAGAAGACTGCTGACTCCACTCTGTCCATTGAGTTAGTGCGGATGGACGACTTTCACTGCTAATCTCACTACTCGCAATGACATTCTTAGAAGTGTAATTCTTCTCTATATTTTCAATGTTTTTAGAAACACCGTCATGAACAAAAGCGCCATGCTCAGATCTCACAAGACCAATACCACCACCACTACTACGACGAATACTTGGACTGGCACGCATCCCATCATTATCAAATCTCCAGTTGCGTCCACTGTGCATAAAATCCATTGAGTTGATCAACTATTTATATATTCTCTGTTCCCACTCCCCACAGTGGGTAAAATAAAATAAAACAAACACAACACAACAAAGTAACGATATCTATTTTTTTACCCTTGCTGTACGTTTGAGTAAGCAGGAGGTGAGTTGGGGGTAAAACTGCTTCTAATAAATAAGAAGCTACAAAGGAAAAAAAGAAAAAATATAAAAAAAGCAATGAATAGGGACATCTAAAGAAGAAAAATGAGCCATGGGAACAAAACAACCATAATATATATTTATTCATATGTACACACCCTTTGAAGAAAGGGATGTCAGTAATATATCAGAAGAATCGTTTTGATAGATAACAGAATGATCAAGTTC